GAGCAACAAAGTTATTACACTGACTTCTGGCCCATCAAATGTTTTTCATCCTTTACACACTGCTCACCTCTTTGACGTTGTTTTCACAAGTTTCACGTTTTGTGAAAAAGAAAGTGAGGTGCAGCGTCACAATGTTTTAACTTCACAGTGCTGAACCCCCAAAACATGTTTGCCAAATAATAAGTCAAGCAGGTAGATAATGTTGGGTTTCCACTAGATAGCAGGCTTCTCCACACAACATCAGTGCACACAAGAAAACATAATTTTCTAGAACTAAGGAAATTGTACCATGTGAACAAGCAGCTCATATGGTTCAATGGGCAGCACTACGAGCTAGCTAGACATGGCACCGGCCAAAGCAGGAAAAGTCGTGTCACCAATTGGCTACAGTTTTTTCTATGCAAGTCAAACCGTGGGTTGTATGCAAGCATACAAGGTTTTTGTGACCAAAAAATTTTATGCAATGAAAACTTTAGTAATCTCTGAAAATCTCCTCTGCAGAATTAGGAAACATTTGGACTTACCACCTTGAGGAAAGCTAAGCTTTGGGCTAAAGCTTTCACATAGTACTCTTGCCTGTTAAACTGCTTTGACTTTGCCACTAGCATAAGGAAAACACACTTTGGAATTGGGAAAGCCCTCTTGCCCAGTCCTGCACCCACAAACAACTTGGAGCTTGAGTTCATTCACTCACCCTGGCTGATCTTTCCATTGTGTAATCAAGGCCAGAATGCACAATGTCCTTTTCTGATGCACCCTGCAGGATGAACAAAGCAAAGGCTTGTGCACAAGTGACACCAACAGCGATAGTTATGCTTTTAAAGGGCAACTCTGCTCGATTTGGGGTTTTTAACAAAATAATGCAGCTCTCTTGTGTACCACCGGGAGTCCACAAGTCAAATAAATGTTAATTAAAATGGCCAAAGAAAGTTCCAGCCAACAAAATGAGCTAAGTCTAACTAGATGACATATGGCACAGCCAACTACACCATAGACACAGCAATTTTCGGCCATCTCCGTTTTTACTTTTATAGGCAAAGCCCACAGGTGGTGCCAACAGTACAAACCACAATGCTTTATGGGGTATGCATGCACCTAAGCACTGGTCACAGCGTTGTGGACATGCCACAAGCCAGACGTCTGCTGTACGTTAATCTCAACACAGTGAATGTCTGTTTTGTCGCAAGAGTGTTTTGTTTTAGAAACTTTAGCTGTATTTTTTATGACATGCACTCAGACTGCAGTGGCGCAGACACCGCTGGATGCAGACAATCTTGCACAGTGCCAATCTGCATGTCAGATTGGGTAACTACTTGAACCTCATGGGCACAACACATCACAGCAATACGACCCATACTCACAGCCCCAGCCAAAGTTCCAGTTTGTGATCACGTCTAAAGCAAGGTTGCAGGGAAAATATTTGACTTGTGGGGAAAAGGAAATTATATAGAGCTGTTCACTGGTACTTCTCATAAAATCTCCCACTATATCTTGCAATTTCCTGAAATCAGCAAAGTTGCCCTTTATGTACAGACTAGACTACAAGCAGAACTTAATTTATACTGTGTCAGACATTGTGATGGCAATTACCATTTTCTTACTAGAAATATAAGGCTACATTTGTAGAACTGGACGAATGTCAAACATTTTCCGAAAATACCATGACAGGATTTAGCTGACAATTACTACATTACAAATTCTAATGATCATTACATAAAATTACATTTCCCGATCGTCGGACTTTGTTGAGATCATTTCCCAGTACATACTTTAGTAACCAATCACCTTGAGGAAATATGGAATGCAATAAATTAGGCTTAAGAGCTTGAACATCTTTATATTTAAAAAAACTGTATGCATTATATTTATAATCACTTAGCAGCATATTCTAACTTGTACTATAGTTACAACAGTTACAGCTGCAGGACATTAACAAATCCCAAGCAAAATTAGTGGTATTAAAAAAAATTTACAGAACCACCACCAATCAAACTCAATCCTCCAATTTCGAGCCAAGTGATAGGCACTGAACCGTAACTTGGCAAACAATGGGCGTCGGAAGGAAGATCATAATAATGCACTGCCGGACTTAACCCCTGCGGGTGGTGTTACGTGCCTAGCTTTGGCGACCTTACTAGCTCGGCAGGGCTGTAACTTTTGCCAAGTTTTATAAAGAAATAGCGCATAGACAAGTACGCATCTGGGGCAACTCACGGAGATTCTCTTCTGGAACGATTCACTCGGCATGATGGGGATGCGTCCCCCGGCCTTGCCAAACCTCCTCTCCAGCGATTCCTGAACGCTCTCTGGAAACAAAAAAAAAAGCTCAGGCTTGCACGCAAAATGACACTAGCACAGTGCCTGGAACGTGCCTCCGAACAACGGTCTGTTAACCGTCCTACATCGCACACGCGTCGAAAGTGATCTCGAAGCAACAAGTTGCAACGCAAAAGTCCCGCGCGCCACGCTGTCCGATGTCACAATCTCGGCGGTCGGTCTTAAAAGTTGCAGCAAAGAAGACGAAAAAATGCAAATGTCACTGTCGTCAAAGCGCTCCCAACTTCTGCAACTCCACAAAACTGGCGTCTGCTGCATCCTGCCTTTTCCGCCGTGCCACATTCAGGAAGTCAGAAATCGAGGGATCACAACCGAGAATGCGGTCAAGAAGCCAGTCGGAGACTCGTTCCGGCACCGTACTAGCCAAGCCAAACTGAGACAAGACTGTCAATGCGTTGCAGCACTGCAAGAGAGCGGCACAACCGACCCACCAACGTTGTCTGTCACCGGCTCGAAAAGGAGCTGGATGATTGGGATTTGCACAGGTTGGCACTATGCGGTGCTCCTAAACAAAGGGGTGCGGACTACCTAAAATTTTCCTGCAACGTCTGCCATCAAGCACCTCCAGAAAAAAAAGTGAAAGCCGTTTACCACTCCCTGTAACACCGAATTGGAGTGCAGCTTTTGAGGAGGAGGAGGGAAGTGTACTGAGGGCCACAGTTTCTCGGGGGTCACGTGACATAGGGGAAAGGGTCACACATGACCCCCCCCCCCCCCCCCCCCCCCCCCCCCCCCCGAGGGCACGTGACCTTGTTGGGGTCACGTGACCTCAGGGGAGGGGGTCCACGTGGAGGGGGAGTCACGTGCCCCCCGAGGTCACGTGACCTCGGAAGGGGGTCACGTGACCTCGGGGAGAAGTCACGTGACCCCCCAGGTCACGTGACCAATATTTCCCCGCTAGATTTAGCGGGGAAGTTTTTCCGCCAGATTTAGCGGGGAAGTTTTTCCGCTAGATTTAGCGGAGGTTTTTCCGCTAAATTTACACGGGAAATTTTTTCCACTAAATTTAGCGGGGAAATTTTTCCGCTAGATCTAGCGCGGAAATTTTTCCGCCAGATTTAGCGGGGAAGTTTTTCCGCTAGATTTAGCGGAAAAGTTTTTCCGTAAATTTAGCGGGGAAATTTTTTCCGCTAGATTTAGCGGGGAAAATTTTCCGCTAGATTTAGCGGGGAAGTTTTTCCGCTAGATTTAACGGGGAAATTTTTCCGCTAGATTTAGCGGGGAAATCTTTCCGCTAAATTTAGCGGGGAAATTTTTTCCGCTAAATTTAGCGGGGAAAATTTTCCGCTAGATTTAGCTGGGAAATCTTTCCGCTAGATTTAGCGGGGAAATTTTTTCCGCTAGATTTAGCGGCAAAAATGTTCCGCTAGATCTAGCGGGGAAGTTTTTCTGCTAGATTTAGCGGGGAAGTCTTTCCGCTAGATTTAGCGGGGAAGTTTTTCCGCTAGATTTAGCGGGGAAGTTTTTTCCGCTAAATTTAGCGGGGAAATTTTTCCGCTAGATTTAGCGGCGAAAATTTTCCGCTAGATTTAGCGGGGAAATTTTTCCGCTAGATTTAGCGGGGAAATCTTTCCGCTAGATTTAGCGGGGAAATCTTTCCGCTAGATTTAGCGGGGAAATCTTTCCGCTAGATTTAGGGGGTAAATTTTTCCGCTAAATTTAGCGGGGAAATTTTTCCGCTAGATTTAGCGGGGAAATTTTTCCGCTACATTTAGCGGGGAAATTTTTTCCGCTAGATTTAGCGGGGAAATTTTTGCCGCTAGATTTAGCAGCAAAAATTTTCCGCTAGATCTAGCGGGGAAGTTTTTCCGCTAGATTTAGCGGGGAAGTTTTTCCGCTAGATTTAGCGGGGAAGTTTTTCCGCTAGATTTAGCGGGGAAGTTTTTCCGCTAGACTTAGCGGGGAAATTTTTCCGCTAGATTTAGCGGGGAAATTTACCCATAATGCACCGCGCGGTTACGCCGACGCCGACGGCGACACCGCTCAAGCCGGGAACGGGTGCCTAAGAGCTGCGCTCTAAAAGGAAGCCGTGGCTCACCCAGGAGGTGGTAGTTGGACTCCCGCTCGTACTTGAAGAGGAGCCGGCCGTAACTGACATGGTTCAGGTTCTTCAGCCACTCAAAATAGCTGACGGTCACGCCGCCCGCATTGATGTACAGGTCCGGGATGACCAGGATGTTGCGCTCCATCAAGATCTTGTCCGCCGCAGGAGTGGTCGGTCCATTGGCGGCCTCGGCAATGATCTGGACGTGCGGGCGAAGAGAATGCGGCGATTAGACATTCCCAGGCTAGTGGCCTTCTACACCGTGCAAGATCTGTCCAGAGAAAGTTTCTAGCCCCTGCATTTACCCAACTTGGCAGAGCAGTCCGATTAGGAGACACCCTGTACATACATCCTTAGCCGGCTTGATTGTCATCAGTCGGATGACTGAGGGCCAATCGTCATTTTATTTCCAGTTAGTTGGATATAAATGCAAATACCAGACTATTAACAGCAGTTCTAGACACCCACTGTTAGAATCACCTAAAAGATGAAAAAAAAAAGGTACCAATAACTTCTTTCTTTTTTCAGTGTGCAATATAGATTTTTTTCCTGAGCCAAACAGATGGACACGGGACACCAAACTGAAGAAATGAGTTAGAGTGAAGGGTAGCGACAAATATGGGGCACAGATGTACCATACATTGCCTTAATATTAGCAAAACTGACTTGCAAACTATAAAACATTGTGGGCAGCACATGGTGAGTACAGCTCTGCATGATGCCATCCGGGGCAAGGCCAGGTCTTTGCAAAATATGTCCATTCTTACAAGCATGACAATTTGTTCAACACTGATGTATTTAGCTTGTGTCTTTAGCTTTTGAGCATCACTGTGAGCACTCTTCAAACTTTCAACTGTAGCCAGATGAAATAGGAACAATTCTAATAATTTTTTAGGGAGGTGCACACCTTTAGTGACCATTCAGCACGCTCACTGTTTGTGCTGAAGGTGCCTACGCTTTTGAACGAGGGACGTGCAAGAGGGATTGGCATGCTTCACCTTGCAGTTGAATTTGTTGGCATTGTCTTTGGTGATGACCTTCTCCACGGCAGATGGCACGAAGATGTCGCACTCCTCATACAGCAAGTTCTCCCCCGTGTAGGGCTCTGCTCCAGGGAACCCAACGATTGTGCCATTGTTCTGGGAAAAAGAAGACCAACAACAATCGAGAATAAAGTTTATTGTGACCTCAGGTTCAATCAAAAAGATGTTGGCATCTAGAGAATTTGCGCCATTGTTATGCATGCAATCATTCCATCCCATTAATATTGGTATGCCCACTTGCTCTAAAAGTAGTCATTAACTGAATATTCCATACTAAGAACGACACTGCCATTAAAACGCAAGTAGAGCAAGTTCTCAAATTTTCAAAATTCCCTGTCCTTATCCCAGGGAGATCAGAATTACAGCAATTATAGTAGGCTCATGATAATTCAAACTCAGATATGTCATACTTGGGGTTAAGTTAAACAAATTTCAATATTTCGGCTGTCCTGCTATGTTTTTAATGTATTTATAAGCCCCTTAATTCAAACGGCGTGTTCGTGTAATTCATACTTTTTGTTCTCGCGGCCCAGTTGAGTGAACTTCTTACCGAGCACCGGTGCACCGCAGAGAAGCAACACCCACAAAGCTCACTTCCGCAGGTGTTGCTTCTCCGCAGTGCATCCATGCTTGGTAAGAAGCAAACTCAATGGGACTAATTGTTCACAATAGACTTTTTTGCTGGATGAACAAACTTAATTATGTTTTCAGGTGTCTAGTGCTATCAAAACAGTCCAGGATAGACAGCATTTTTGAGAGATTAATAAACTTTTATATTTCACCAATGTTTTATGTGCAGAATATCTGATAGTGATTAATAGGCCTGGGAAGAATTGTCAAATATCTACTTTTTATGTGCCAAGATCCATATAACAATCAATATTATGTTGCATCACATTCAGATAAATTTCTGAAAATTCGAACAAAATTTGTGACTTACTGGAGTTTTAGTTAATGAGAGCCTACTGCACATTTATGAAACATTTTTTGGGTCTTTGCTTACCATTTACAGGCCTTTCGAAAAAAACAACCAACTGGGTGCAACCAGATGCTGCACAATGTGAACTTCACAAAAAATATTTTACATGTCAGGTAGACTACCTTTCAGAAATGAGCCCCATAGCCCATAGTAAGGAAAGAGCTATCGTTTCAGTCTTGCAGCAAACACTTCGAGAGACCGAGCCTGGCCCTCAACCGCACTCCCTTAACTGAGAACGCTATTCAACAGGGTGTAAACATTAGTAGCGATTTTTTTCCACTTTATTCTTACAGTGTAGTGCAGAGTAACAAACTTTACAATCTATATGTTGCTGTCCTACATGCTATACCGCACTAGAAGTTTTCACACGAGACTCCTATCTGCATTTAAAAAAATTAAAAAGAGCATGAATTGCATGTTTGTGCCAACCACGTCGTGCTACATAAAACAAAACTTAAAACTAAACGAAAGTGGGTATAACCTTTGTTTTTTCTTTCAATTTTTAATTTTTGCACTCCAATTATCTTAGCTACGAATACGGCAATGTCTCGTTAATATCGACACCTTTGTCCCCCCCAAAAATCGTCCAACGCGAATTAATGTGTGCATTTACCCGATTCGTCCATGCAATCCTTGTCTTCGTAGCAAAACATTTGTATTAGCAGGGTTTGCATTAATGAGGCATCGCTGTACCACACCTTGCTGCCTTCAAAAATAAGTTGCCCCAAAAGGACTTTTCAAAACGGCCGCTTTGAAACGAGAGCCAAGAAAGGGTGGTCGGAGAAAAGCGCTCACGATTTTCCACTCCTCGATTTCCTTGGGGTCGATCCCGTTGGGGTTGAAGATGGAGCCGTCCACCTCCTGGATGCCGATGCACCGGGCACCTGCTCTCGTCAGGTAACGCGTGCAGTGCAGGCCCACGTTTCCCAGACCCTGGGCAAAGCGACGTTCGAGTTGCGCCACTCTCTAATCTCGAGCCAGCGCGTTCTACCTCGCTGGTGCAACCTAAAATGCACTACGAGGCAAAATGTCGCAACCCAAGGTTACAAGTACCGTAGTTTCTGGACCATTGTCCACAAACTATACATGTTCAAAAGTTGAAATTTTAGGCTGTGCGGACTATCTACACGCGCAGGCCATACAGGGATTGTATTTCAAAATCGTTCACTGCGACGAGACTAGACTTATTTTGTGAATGAAGGGTATGTAAACAATCATTTATGTGTGACACAGGCTTCTTTGTGAGCTATGAAAGCAGACATTTGTCAAGCTGCTCCATGTATAAGAAGTTTTTCGTGTCAACTAAGCACCAGCTGTGGACTATGCACCGGGTGCAAACTATTTAATCAAAAACTCCTTTTTCTGGCTTAAATTGGCCGCTGCAAACTATAGCCCCGAAAATATGGTACATCGTGCCAACTGACAAAATAGGAAAAAAGATCAATTTTTCAAATCGAGGGAACTCCTGTTACCACTTTGGGTTGTTTCTAAATTTTTGTGTAATACAGTCAAACCCGTTTATGTCGAACTGGCATAAAAACGTCTACTAGTTCGATATAGCGGGTAATTTGATATAGAAGTTAATGAATTCGACTCTAAAAGATCCACTTTCTGCCGACATATTACACAATTAAATATTCTTGCATCTTTCTGCTGCTTTTTCTTCATTACATCCGCGATAACGATACTTTTCTATGCTATCGACGGACCCCAAATTGCTGAGGCCGCTGCCTTCTATATTCCCGCATTAGCGCCGAACTATGCCGAGAGCACGGTGCACATCCAAGCAGGAGCACCTTCTCCTGCAGAGCGTCGTTTTACTCTGCAAGTTGGCTTTCCCCTACGACAAGCGGCTGCGTTGGGAGAATGCCAGCTAGCACAGCAAGCTGTTTTTTTTTGCTTCCTGGAGGCCGCATCAACCGAAAGAAAGAAAAAATAATATTCTCGGACAGAGCAGGGAAGAGGGAGCAGGGATTACCTTCTCCCCGCTCCCTCCGCAAAAAATACTTTTTTTTTTTTCAGGCAATCAACGAGACTGTTTGGAAAAAAAAAAAAAAAAAAAAACGGGGTGCTCTGCAAGCTTGCCTTTCCCCAATGCGGCCGCTTGCGTTGGGGGAAAACCAGCTTGCAGAGCAAAACGGCGCTCTCGGCAGTTTGATATGTTGGTAGCGGCTGCTATTTTTGTTTGATGTAACCATAGTTTTTGTTATATATTATCACTGTAACATTAGTGTGCACAAAAATTGTTTGATATAAGGGATAATTCGATGCAAACGGGCTCGATAAAGTCGGGTTTGACTCTTACAAAATGTACAGATTTAAAAAAAAAAAAAATGAAAAAGTTTATGCGAACTTAAGAGAAAGCTTGTTGCATGATGTTCTTTTTTCAGTGAACACTAGAACAGCAGAAAATGGAAGCAGAGCATCTGTCTAGTTGGCTCGGTTCTATCAACGTAGTAAGCTGTCCAAAAGCACTTTTGCTTGTGTCGTAGCTTTCTTGACCCCTTGCCTACTAACAAGTATCACTCATGCCACCCTTTACGGACCATAAAGCCCTACCACAAGTGTGACTCGTGTTTCGGTTTCAGCGCTTGTTTAGCGTGCTCTCCGGCAGATGGCAGCACCACCCTTGTTGCTCCACTTACATTGGGTTGTTCGTTCGTATGTGTTGCTGTTTAGACAGAAAAAAAGTGCTCAATTTACAAAAAGAAAATAAAGCGCAAGCTGGATGAGCGTTTGCACCGAAACAAAATGGTTTCAGTGTGGAGGTCTGCTTTAGCCGACGAAGAGATCCAAAAACTTCTTTTTGCGAGCGAATGACGACAAATCTTGCAGCCTTTTTGATAACCCAGAATCTACCTAGATAGTTTGGTGGGCAGTGATGAGAGTGATGAAAATGATGCAAATAGTTTTATTCACTCCCATCAAGGTGGCACTCCACCTTCCTAAATGTTTTCAGCATTACCACATTGAGTAGATCTATCAGTGAAAGGGAACCAGAAGATTAGAAGTCCTGATTTAGAGCAAGATACAACACCTGGAAGTCAAGGAAATGCTTTTACCTTATACTGATGCAAAGTGCCCGTTTAAAACAAAGTTTTGCTGTACATTCCTCGGAGAAAAATAATGAGTAGGCAAGGGGTTAATGCAGCGGTGATCACATCAGGAAGTCACTAGAGAAGCTGGCTTCTCTAATGTGAAACTAAATCAAGTCAGAATTTTGATCTTGGCACTTCGATTCTTGTATGCTCAAGCAACGCACTGAAATGTAACAAGGTCTGGCAGCATCAAACTAGCACATTAGTCACTTGATCAGACTTTTTGCTGTAATCTAACAAAACAGAAATGTAGACGGCCTACTTGCATCATTCTTGTAAGCTCCGGCCGGGCCTAAAACTTTTTTATTTTTTTTTTATTTTGTGTGTATTGCGCTATTTCGGCATGCTAGTTTGAGTCTTGTGTATGGACCGTTCCAGGATATGCACTATAGCGCACAGTATATAACGCTTGGAAACCACTTGAAAGAAACCCGGCAAGGACACCTTTCCTACTAACAAATGCTGGATGTTGGTTATCGCAGATTGAGATTTCATCTGCGATGCTTTCTGGATGACACAGATCTTCCCAAGTTATTTCATAGCCACCGATGTCTAACAGTTGTTGGACTTACCTGGACAATAAAGGTTTTTCCTCCCCAGCCAGGTGTGGTCCCAATCATGCTCATGAAACTTGCTTCGTTGATGAAGTTATCGATTCCATGGAAGACGCCCTGCAACAAGGTTATGTATGCCACAACATCCTTCGCACGTCAACTCGAAACCCATCTCCCTCGTTAAGATTGCTGCCCATTGACATTCTGCTAACACGAATTGGCCTGAAACATTATTGAAAAGTTCCCTTTCTCCCATATCACGTTCCATATCACGAGGCAGCCTTATGCCCAGGCTCGCCACAGCTTTCCACCAGCTACAAATTAACATAAATGGCGGCAAAAGCCTTAGATGCGCCGTCCTTCCCTACTTTTTGTGCCTTCGCACTGAACACACTCAAGCTAAGAAGTGTGAAAAACCTTCTGACTAGGCTCTCTTAGTCAACATGTCATAGATGCCCAACCCAAACTTTGTAGTGCATACCTCGCGGTATGTTACACTCGCTAGTCAAGTGACACAGTAAGCATGTGAACCAAACAGGCACGGCATATGCGACACATCAAGGGGAATTTCACAGTGGTACTCCAAATTGTGCGACTCCTCATTCTCGTGGCCTACAATGCTTACATACTTGCCCTAGTGAGCACATTCCTTAATTACGAAGTTAACAAATATTCAAAAACTTGTCAAATGTTACAGGTCGAAAAAAAAAAGTACGTATAAATACTGCTACTGTCACAATTCATTAAATTTAAAACATATTTGAAACTGGGTAAAGGAAAGGTTCTTTGCTTTTAATAAATAGGAGGTTTTTAGCCTTCTAAACGGTATTAGCGCACACATAGAGAGGAGAGAAGACTATGCGTGCACTAGTACCACTTAGATGTTTAATTACCAGCTAGCCCAATTATGAACCCTTTTAAAGGAGATTTTCAGTTTTTGTCTCGTACAGGTTAGCGTGACGGGGCCTCTACCCTGTGCTTAAAATAACCCAGAACTTTTAAAGAGATCATGGGAGCGTTGGGCGCTCGGAAAGTCCAAGCAGTTCCGACAGCAAACAAGCTCACCCTTCCGGTTGCAGACACTCGTCCGTGGATTCCGCCCTGGTTGATGGGCTTCCCGGTGATGCATGCATGTGAGTTCATGTCAGTGTGGCCTAAGTGCAGGTGAGAGAGTAAAATAAATTATGTTGCAGAGAATGGGAGCACAGGAACACAAGTTTCACACTAGTTTGATTGCCATCCCCAAAATACCCATCACAGGGAGAAAAAATAGAAACAACTCGTTACAGTACAAAGTCGTCATTACCTCCACCAAACTCACAAGCACATAAAATATCAGTAGGAAATCAACACAAAAAGTTTGGAACATGAATAATGGCTTTTGGTCTATCTCACAAACAGAAGCAGTGGCACTAAGGTAAATTGTTTACTAGTTGACGAGAAAACTTTTAGCTGGCAATTTCCCCATTCCCCGTCACCATAAGAGATTGCACATCTTGCATGCTCATAAGCGGGAAGAATTGTTAACCGGTCGGGACAGAGAACTGCTGTTAAGCAAAACAAAGAATGCTCAGTTATGGCAGGAGTGGCCCGTTTTGTAACAACCAACTAGACACTGAAAGAGACACCACAAAAAAAGAAAAGGCCTAGGTCCTTACGTTGTATTGCCGGACGTAAGTGCAAAATTGAAAGAACCGCTTCCTCGGGACCAAACAAAAAGCCATGCAGGCAGTACTCTCACCGATGGTCTGCGAATATGTGTCGGCGATCCAACTCATTTCTCTCTCTCCTGTGCCCATGTCGGGCGCTGGGACGTCCACACCGGGCCCTGCAAGCAATGTACAGCAGTATTTGTGTAGATGCCCAATATCTAATGGCTCATCCTTCATTCTAAGTACACCATGAACTGCATTAATGCTCAATTATACTACTAGCCACAAAAAGTATTCACCAGCTCTTCAGCAATGCAAGCATAAATGTCACCAAGGAGCCCTGTTCTGACAAAATAAAAAAATGTCCGACACCCATCATGAGGTCGTTTGTGTGAATGAAGATATACAATATCTGATTACGAGCATCACTTGGCAGCCAACCAAGATGCTGATAGAGTAGATGCTCATGCGGCCAAAAATTTTTCTAGCCCTGTCTGTGTGTGATTCCAAGAAGCATATCTTAAGGCTGGTTCAGACATCAGTGCTTGTGATTGACCGTGTCTTGACTGCTTATGATGAGATGGTAGCTTGGCAACCAAGCCCACAAGGAATCGTAATGCGGTCAGTTACACTCAAATGCAAGTATCTTGCCCAGACCTTATCCGGTGATGCACAGGGAAAGAAGTTAAGTGGTCGTTACATTTCTACTAGATGTCTGCTTCAACCATTAGCTGCTCAGTGCCACATTAGCTCGGTTCAAATCTACCAAGTAGTAAAGATTCGTTGAATGCAAGTTTAGACAGCGGGAGTTTGCCTGTCTCTGCTGTAGACAAGAGACCTAGTCAATGCTGAATCACTCTTAGCCTGGGGTCTTTAATGTGCAAATGTATCCGGCTTTATTCAGTGGTCAACACGGAAAGAAGATTCCATATGTGGCTATTACATTTCTGCTAGACGTTTGCTTCTACCATTAGTTGCTCAGTGCCCCACAGCTCAGTTCAAACCTAAGTAGTAAATGATTGTGGGGAAGTGTACAGCGGGAAATTACTCTGCTCTAAGGGGCATCTGAAGTGTCCACTCTAGCTAAAGAAACTAGCCAGTGCAGTACCACTGCTAGGCTGAGGTTCGTAACGTGTATCGTGCAGCAGATACCCAACTGCACGCCAATACAACACAAGGCAAGTGTATAGGATCTGCAGGTTAACTTGTAACTCACAGGTGCCCAGGAAGGCCAGATAAACTGGAGATTCAACTCACCCAGGAAGCCCTTCTTCGCGAGCTGGAGCGCAAAGTTGCGGGTGATCTTCTCGAGCTCAAATTCGCTGAACTCCTTGGGGTTGATCTTGAGGCCAGCTTTGCCGCCCCCAAATGGCACGTCAACCACTGCACACTTGAAAGTCATCAGCGCGGAGAGCGCCTTGACCTCATCCAAGCTGACGTCCATGCTGTATCGAATTCCTGCAAGGAAACGTGCAATTCTATCATAAAATACACTCATGTCTAGTTCATTTGAACCTCGTAAATATGAATACCTCATTATGTAGACAATTTTTTTCAGGAACAAAGTGCATACATGCTTTTTTTGTCTCATTATTATGGACAATATTTTGAGGAAATGGAGGAGTCCGCAATAATGAGACAGGACTGTGTGTAACAATCTTGGTTCTTTGGCCCCGATTCTTCGCAAGTCTATTCCGCCAGGCACGTTAACAGTCTCCAAAATTTATAGTGTATGGTGAATTTCCATGTCAAGCATTATAACATCTAAAAAATAGGTATCTTTTATTCTTAAACAATTTGAGTGAATGTCCCTTTTTCCATGTGTCTTATTCTTTATATAATTGTCATTAGTTCTACATATGCCTTTATTGCATAATATCTCGCTATGCAAGTTTTTGATTTATAAGTATGTGTATATAGTTCAATGCATTATACATTGTGTGCAGATTTTATAATTGCATACATCCCATTCATTTCTCGAGTTTGAAGCAGCCAGCCCGAGACTATGGGAACAAATCCTTTGCTTGATTAAATAAACATTGAAAGTAAATTGATATTTGCAAACCAACCGAAATGGCACATGAAACACTAAAGATCAAGACACTTCATGGTAGTTTCTACATGGTTTTAAGGTATGCAACAGATACAAAAATATGAAATGTATTGCAACCATTCGAAGGACGAAACCCCCTCTATGACTTGCAGAACTTTTTTTTTTTTTTTTTCTTTTCTTAGCAAGCTACCGTGTGCTTTCGAGCAGAAAGAATCTGCATGCAGAGAAGCTAAGTGATGCATTTCAAATGCTGCATCAATTCCCACAGTCGGCTTATAGGAGTCAAGGATATATTGTATCTATATTTAAGTACACACTCAAACGTCGAATAGACACGAGTATAGGACGGTACGGTAAATCCGAGTTGCTCAGAAATATTCTAGACCACCATTCCGAGTTTATTTCTCAAATCCTAAGGGAATATAGCTCCGTCGTAAGATATTAAAATTTGTACTGAAAGGTGTACAGGACACGTATAGCTTATTCCGTCGCCTTTATGCTTGAAAAACAGAAGAAAAAAAACTCACATCCGTGTCATATTTGTTACTACGGGATGTCGCAAAAAAAACGTGGCTCGCATTTTTTTTTTTTTTCTTTTTATCTTATACGAGGAGGTTTAAAAAAAAAAATTCACTGCGAATAGTCATTGTACTGCTGCGTGCGCAACGCGGAACAAAGCAGGAATACAAAGCGGACTTTAAAAATAAAATAAAAAGAAAAGCTGCACAGTTTGCTCTTTCAGCGTCACTGGCGTGTCGTCCCATCGTCCCATCGACGCACGCTTTCTCGCCTTGTTCTCCGTTCCCCCGGTTCCCTCCCAAGCCTGGGGTGGAAGGCCGTAGTAGATCTCCCACACGCTCGATATACGCCGATACACCCTCAAAAAATACACTCCGCACCAGCACCGCCCATAAATCCGGCGTGCACGGGTGCGGGCAGCTCCCCAGCGGAGCGCGGCGGACGAGCCGCCGAGCTAGCCAGGGCCGCAGTGGCCCGCTGCTCGCTACCAACCTCCTTTGCATGGTGTCCGGTGGTGGCTGTGCTGCGCCCGCCATCCGTTGATCATCACGTACTCCCCATTGTCCCGTTTGAGCGGAAAGGACACCTCCAACACTGCGTGGCATGGCCCCAGCAAAGCCAGGTAGCCCCGGACCTTCTTGCGCTTCTCTTCGAGGCTGAGCTTGCCGCGAAACTCTTCGACGAGTTTATCTTCGACCACTTGCCAGCCCCGGTGGTAGAAGTACTCCACCATGTGAAAGAAGGAAGGGTCCTCGGCGTCCTCGACGTACTGCAGGTTATCCGGGATCTTGTGGTCCGAGTAATCCCGGCGTTGGGAAATCGCAGGCGCGACCGCTTGTGCCGTCTTCCGACATATCGCTCCCTTGGCGAGCTGGCTCAAGGTGACTGCGCCGTACCTCAGCATCTCCGTCCACACCCGCGGATGTCGCACTAACGCGATGTTTTATTTGCTTCGATGATACCCGCCCGATCTAAGAGTCTAGGATTGACTAAACCGCACTGCCCATACAACTCACTACGCCGATTTTGATAACTCCACGCCCTTCCGCCACTCTCACTTATGGGCAGGGCTTGGCAACTAAATACGAGCCAAATATATATCCGATTAAAATGCAGAGGGGAGCCGCCGCGCCAAAGCGGCAATCATTGGCACTAGCGGGACAAAAGATCGCCTGCCACACGAATCACCGCGCCTCAATTTATCCTGAAACGATGGTAAGAACCGAAATTCAGTTACTGATTTATTTATTTTCCGCACATATTTAAACTAAAATTATAAATTTATGTGTAGAAGTATGTTTGTAACGTTTGTAACCTTATAAAAGTACACTCCCATTGCGTACGCTATCGCAAGTCTGAGCGCGGAATTCAAAAACCTCCAACTCTCTGCTCGCTACATCTCAGTGGTAGTGCCAACTTTTCAGCTCGCAACACAAATAACGGCAAAAATATCATACAAACAGTGCCCCTGTAACTGTTTATTGGAAGTACAAAATAATACTGAGTTTTAGTACCGCGTATACGATCGCACGCCAGCACAGTGAATTTGCGTTAGCTTTGCGTGTTCCACACTGCGCGTGCCGGGAGCACAAACTGTGGCCTTCGATTGGCGCATAACAACAACGCGCATGCGTAGCATGGAAAACGCGACGCTAGCGCAAACGCACAGCGCTTCGCAATACTAAAACTCTCTCATTCATGCAAGCTGTTTGCATTCTTTTTTTTTTTTTTCTGTTTGAATCATACGACCATACTGATAGTGATAACAACGTCGATAAGCTAGGGATCCTCATGCCAGGAACGATTACTTATCACCCACTGTCTCGTACGATAGACAGGCGACAGCCAGCTTGGTGTAGACGGGATACCGCATGTGCGTCTGCCTTGTGGTTGTCCTGTTTGACTCCTGGATACAGCAGTTTCCGCTATTACATTCCAACCAGACTGCAATATTCGCGAAATCAAACATCCAGCCACGTTATCGCTGGATTGCTGCAATATCAATACATGTAATGTTGTTTATTATCCGGCTATTATTTCGCTTTCTGTTTATCGATCTACTTCAATCCGTATGCGCTGATACCGGGAGCGGATGAAGGTGTTTCCAAAAGGGGGGGGGGGGGGGGGGGGGGGGGGGGGCAGGCAGAGTATTAGATGTTTGACAAAACACCCTTTCTAACCCCCTCTTTTACCCGCCTTAAAATTTTAAGCATGCGGAATACAACTAGGGGGAAAGAGGAGGAGGGGGGGGGGGGGGGGGCTTAGGACAAAAAATAATAATTAGTAACACCCACCACCTCTCTTCCCCAGAGGGACAGCCCTGGATAAATCCTCGCTCTAAAGACGCTCCCCATGCAAGGTCACGACCCGCCGCACCAATGAAAGCTACCCAGTAAAGCAACCACACTGGGAGTAAAAACATTCTCCATTTCATTGATCATCTCACGAATCGCTTTCCGTCGGTGTCGTGATCGTAAGGCCCCGGCGTGCTTCCCTTCTGCTCGCGCCTCGCGGCAGTGAAACATCGGCAGACCCGAGATAGCGGGATTTCAAGGTCAAGACCGACAGCGCAGCAAACCGGTTCGGCCCGGATCATGCGTGAGCGGGACAGCCTTCCGGCCGCACCTCTGCCGCTGCATGCTTCGAGTCCGTCGCATCCCCACGTGCCACATACACGATCGTGCCCAGACAACACCACCTATAAGACAAGGCCTGCGCATGACGTCATCGTTAGTGGATCTCTGAACCGCCCCTAGCGACCAACACGCCAGATACGTCCGTCTTGGCGTCGCCGCGTTCTAGTGTTGCAGATATTACACACGAGTTCCGTCTCTTGCTACTTTGATAGCTCTTCTTGGTGATATCTGGTGCGCCACCCTTTCTTATTCGCGGATATATCTCAATGCCACAAAGCGGTCAGGTTTGGTGTCACTATTTTATTTAGCTCTTGGAGCTTCGTACGCAATGTTTACAAAAGAAATAATTGCGACGTGAACGACAGCCTTTGGGCAGTTCTGAGCATAGGCGCGATTCTCGAGGCACTGGCGAAACACGCTCTTGAGTCTTGACGTCTTTGAGAATTTATCTCTCTCCTGGCCGTCAGGCTATTCGTGGCTCCACGTGCGCTGGCTGTTGATTTATTCTTCGGTCAGCGTGCGAAGGCTGAAACTTTCCAAAAGAGCCCGCCCGGTTTAGCTGCTTCCGCGATAACTATTTGCATTTATTCATTTATGACTGATATATTTTATTTTCAGGGCCAATCAACAGTTGATGTAAGCGATAACTCTAGGGATAAATAATGCAAAATATCTGTCCTAATGAAAAATGTAACGCCTACTTTGTGACGGTGATCAGACGTGAGGAAACAAATGATGGTGGGGTTATCGGGTGATTTCGGAGTGTTGTGATTAAAAAAAGATTGTGAAAAGAAAGAAATACTATGTAGAAAGAAGTTCGGCGGCGATATGCGAGAGAGAGAGAGAGATACTTAGTCCGGCTTGACCCCTAGCTGTGGTGCTGGGTCCGGTTGACACAAATAAAGTGTTTTTCACTGATGCTATGCTAGCCGTGCGATTATAATTATTCGCAATAAAGCGCGCGGATCTGTTCTGAAATAATTCGAGCGATCGAGTCAGCTGATTTTGCCTATCTTGGAACGTGCATAGCCTCCCGCAACATTCCATTTTGCTGGCTCTAGTACATGGTTTATTGATCGCTTGGATGCAGGTCATTTCAATTTCAGAGCAAAATAATGTTTATTTAATATATCTTTATTTTTTTTTTATGTGAGCTATGTCCTATTTAAATCAGCGAATATAGCGCTTTCAATTAACAGAGGGATGAAATGTATTTGCATATAATTATCAGCTCTAACCAAGCCATCGCCACTCCCTTGAGTGCATGACGTATAACCTCCAGGCCAACTGACCAAGACAGGGCCGGTTGTTCCACGCATCCTATACTCCGTTCCACCTTCAGTCTGAGCGCAGTGGACGCCACAGGCCATCCCAACCGATCCAGCGCCGGGAGAAAATCGCGTGACCTGCCGGTTGGGCAGAGGGACACAGGGAGCTCAAGGTCACATGACACTCTCTCCACGCTGGATTGGCTGGGATTACTCCTAGCGTCCGCTGCGCTCGGACTGAAGGTGAGACGGAGAATAGAAGCGATTTTATTCCACCCATCAAAGGAGGCGGGGAATCAGTTCTCGACGTGCGACACCAAGAGTGCGGCTGTGGTCTGCCTTCCACGATTGGACAGACACTCACTCCTGAGTATGATAAATTATTTTATTCATTATTGGAAGTAACAAGAATGCCTGACTGTTGTCGACTACAAGCTTCCACCACGATTTGTACACACCATTGAAATTGTCGCTGGCAATCGATAATCCTAGTCGTGACGTTACAGATAGGAACCATTAGAGAGAGCCACCGAAACATATCGTCACCAATACCAGACAAGTTAAAAAAGCCTACAAGATAAAATAAAATAAAAAAAAATAAAGAAACGACCAGAATCGAACACAAAATCATTCTTCGTGCTTTTTTTGTTATGTATAGTTCCGGGTTACGTGCAAAAAACACATTTCTAAAAAAAAAAAAAAAAAAAAAAAAAAAAAAGAGCAGGTTTTACCGAGATTTGAACTCGGATCACTGGATTCAGAGTCCAGAGTGCTAACCGTTACACCATGGGACCAACCGCAAGTTTGCGACGACGGGAATCGAACCCTGGCCGTCTGCATGGGAGGCAGATGTACTGACCAACAGGCCATACCTGCAGATACCGGACGATGAATCTGGTCAATGGACCAGTGTGGACCGATGTGAACCAATGTGAACCAATGTGGAGCAGTTCATACCAACCGAATATATAAGATTAGCTTCGTATATAGCTCAAATCGTAAAGACTAACACGATATTTGTGCGTTCTGATTTTTTTTTTATTTGTTTATTTACATTATGTACTAAGTAGTGCATAATACTGTAAACGTGCGGAAAAAGCTGCCCAAGGAAAGCTTGACGAAACCGCAGGCCCCCGCGTTGACATTTGTGCAGCGTAGAAAAGCATAATGAAATCTCCATGCAGTAAGGCCCCACGGCGGTCGGTGTTTGAAACGCTATTATAACGCTTTGTCACTCCCGAAAATACTTAATATGTATCAAGTGGTCTTCATCTAGACATCAAATAAATATAAGTAAATTCAAAAGTAAGCTCGGTGGGAAGATGTCAAACGTGGCATTTTCGTTCGTACGTGGTTTGGTCGTCCGAATGGACAGATTTTAGGCGTAGCTCCATTTCAAGCTTCATTTGCAAAATAGGCTTAATTAAAGGAAATACACGATCAATTTTTATGATAACTGTTAGGTCTTTACGTTTGAAACTTGTAACACATATTGATGGGTATAATTTGAAAGTGTGCGCTGAATTTCATATAGATTAGCTTTCAACGTTTGTTGTAAGGCTCGCGGGAAAATAGAAGCAAATGGCAAAAATAGGCAAACATTGTTTTGTAGCACAAACGCACCACCGTTAGGTTTTAACGCAAGGTATCCGAGCTTCTGGCAGACAAACTTCAATATATGCTCGTTTGTATATCGTAACCATTTCTTTTTTTTTTTTTTTTTTTTCAAACTTTGCGTTTACATTTATTGTGAAAATGCTTGAATATGCAGGAAAAAAAGCACAATACTTAGACACGAAAAGGTAATTTCAATATATTTTCACCAGTTGATAGATAATGTTAGTGTAAACAAGATTGATTATTATCGCATATACAAATTAGCAACTTCTCATTTCAGTAAACGTTCCCCAGTTATTCGAAAGTCAGCAAAAAACATAATAGCAGGTTCATTTGGGGTTTCTACGGCTGCGTGTGCCATCTCTTGAGTTGTTAGCAAGAATGAAGAGCTAAACTTGTTCAGGAAAATTCATAGGGTGGCACTGATCTTGTCCTTGACATATAGACGCTTTTAAGCAGCTGTGCATGAGCGCAGCCATGACTGGCCTTCACTTTCCCTTACTCTCATTTGGTACGCTTCACTTCATTCCTCTGGTCGCAAGAGAGGTTATCGTGTTTTGGGCAGGAGATCGAACGTGTGGGAATTAAACGGAGAAAGGATTACGCACTTTT